CTGCCCTGCCTTGCTCTGCCTTGCCCTGCCTTGCCATGCCTTGCGCTGCCTTGCCCTACCTTGCCTTGATTTGCCTTAACTAGCCACACCTAGCCTTGCCATGCCTAAACACGCCTTATCTTGCCTAGCCACGACTAGTCTTGCCTAGACACGTCTTGCCTTGCCTAGCCACGCCTTGCCTTGCCTAGACATGCCTTGCCTTGCCTTGCCTAGCCACGCATTACCTCGCCTAGCCACGCCTTGCCTTGCCTAGCCACGCCTTGCCTTGCCTAGCCACGCCTTGCCTTGCCTAGCCACGCCTTGCCTTGCCTAGCCACGCCTTGCCTTGCCTTACTTAGCCAAGCCTTGCCTTGCCTAGCATTGCCTTGTATTTACTGGCCTTATTCTACTCCGCCTGCCCCGCCCTAAAAACCGTGTCCCTCCCTGCCCTTCCCTGCCCCGCCCTGCCCTCCAAATCCCTGCCTTGCCGTGACTTGCCTTCCTAGCCACGCCTTGCCTTGCCTAGCCACGCCTTAACTTGCCGAGCCAAAACTTACCTTGCCTAACCACGCCTTGCCTTGCCTAGCCACGCCTTGCCTTGCCTTGCCTTGCCCTGCCTTGCCCTGCCCTGACCAGCCCTGCCCTGCCCTACACTGCCTTGAATGTCCTAACCTACCCTGACCTTGCCCTGCCCTGCCCTGCCTTGCCTTCCCTTCCCTTGCCCTGCCTTGCCCTGCCCTGACCAGCCCTGCCCTGCCCTACACTGCCTTGAATGTCCTAACCTACCCTGACCTTGCCCTGCCCTGCCCTGCCTTGCCTTCCCTTCCCTTGCCCTGCCTTGCCCTGCCCTGACCAGCCCTGCCCTGCCCTACACTGCCTTGAATGTCCTAACCTACCCTGACCTTGCCCTGCCCTGCCCTGCCTTGCCTTGGCTTGCCTTGCCTTTCTTTGCCTTGCCTTGCATTGCCTTTCCATGTATTGCAATTCCTTGCCCTGCCTTGCCTTGCCTTGCTTTGCCGCTCTTTGTCTTGCCTTGACTTGCCCTGCCTTGCCTTGCTTTGCCTTGCCTTGCCTTGCCTTGCCTAGCCACGCCTTGCCTTGCCTAGTCAC